ATAGGCCAATCTCCGTTTTAAATGTAACCTACAAAATATTAGCTAAGGCACAGGCAATCCGGCTCGCTGAGTTCCTTCCATCTCTAGTTGGAACGGAACAAGGGGCGTTTGTAAAGGGGCGTACGATCTTCGATAACATTATGTCATCCCTTCAAGCACTGGAGATCATTGCCACAGAAAAGAGAGGAGTTGCAGTCCTACTCTTGGATATGGAAAAAGCATACGATAAAGTGGGGTGGCCTTTCGTGTTCACCTCGCTGAAACGTATGGGCTTTGGTCCCGTGTTCACCTCGCTGAAACGTATGGGCTTTGGTCCCGTTTTCTTACAATACGTTAAGGCAATGTACTCAGATGCATCATCGGTTACCTTGGTAAATGGCAGACTGTCTAATGAATTCAAGCTGACGCATTCTCTGCGCCAAGGGTGCCCGTTAGCCCCTCTCTTGTTTGTGCTGCAGCTTGAGGTTCTGTTAGATAATATTAGATTTAATCCACTAATAAAAGGATTAGAACTCCCCCCCGACATACATTGGAAGGGGGGCGCGATTGCAGACGATCTTACCGTAGCATGTGAAAATTCACAGGCTAGTTTGACTGAACTGAGAATAGTCCTGGATGATTATTGTAGCCTGTCGGAGGCATCTATAAATTGGGATAAATCAGCTTATTTACTCCCTGCTCCCTTCTCAATTAAAGTAAATTGGGGCTTGAAAGAAGTCCCAATAGAAAGTTCGGAAAGGCTTCTGGGTGTGCAGGTCTCGCTGCAGAACTGTGCACAAGCGCAAGACAGAATACTTCAAGACAAAGTTTGTGCGAGGATTGCAGGTTGGGTAAGAAACCACAAACTGTCAGTGTTCGGGCGAGCTTTGGTCCTCACCTCTGCGGCGTTTTCAATCTTATGGTTCCCTTTGTCGGTTCACTACTTGGGGGACACGACCTATGCCACAATAAAAAGAACGGCGGCCCGCTATCTCTGGAAACCAGCGGGCCTGGACCAACAGGGATTCATCTACAAGGTTGCATGGGAACTAGTCTGCCAACTGAGGGACAAAGGTGGTCTAGGACTGTTGGACCCAAGAGATCAGAGCATTGCGTTATTGGTGAAATGGATATTTAAGGCCTGTTTTCAAGACTCTCAAAAGCAATGGGTATAGCTGGCTCAGTATATTCTCAAAAGGGACTGGCGGTTGGCGGAAGAGGTGGATGTCTGGTCTGTCTTACTACTAACTAAGATGTCTAAGAAGCGGACTAAGTCCAGATTCTGGAATGGTATACTATCGGGATGGCAAAAAGTCAAGCCGGAGCAGCTGTCCAAACCGGTCACGAAGATAGAAGTACTGAACCAAAGTTTATTTGATAACCCATGGATCAAGTCCCCGACTGGCGACCCCTTTGAGACAAGGGAGAGAACAGGGAATTTTGCACTTTCGTGGATCGAGAAGGGAGTTTTCAAGATCAGCCATTTGGGATATCAGAGAACAGAGGTGGAGCTCTGCTGAGGATCTGAGGAGAAAGCTTCCAAGGCTGCACAGGATGGAGGACAACTATAATGCGATTTTAGCAGCTATACCACCGCACTGGCAAGAGCTCATGAAGGAGGATACTGAGCAGGCTATGGGTACATGGGTGGTTCACCCAGATGATGACCGCCTGGTTTTGAAAGTGCTGGGCCCAGACTTAGCACATGGCACCACCTTGGAACAGTGGAGGAAGGGGCCATGGTCTAAGGAAGGGACGGAACTGATCAGAGAGAAAGTAATCACCTTGGACTCAACAGCAGACCTGGAAGAGGTAAGAGTCTGGTTGCCACACAAAACAGGCTCCAGGAGACCCATTTTATTGAAAGGGTTGGCAATAGAGTACAGGGTGGATCCCCTTCTCTACGGCTGGAAGGGACCGGAAGGTTTGAAGACTCCAATAGTGTTCTACCAAACAAAAGTAGGCGTGAATCAGCGAAGGGCACACAGAAAGCAGCCACTGGAGAAAGCTACTGAAAGGTTTCAGAAGAGTCAAGGCGTTAATAAAGTCTGCCCCGACTTCCTGACACTATGGAAGATGTTTAAAAAGCTACCGTCACAAAAACAAGTGAGCCTGATGTGGGCTCAATCAATGTCTGTTATCCGCTCAACCCTGTGGCTCAGCCAAAGGGGAATGGAGCTGAATGTTACTTGTCAGAGATGCAATTGGGGATGGGAGGCCACGGAGCACCTGTGGCTGTTCTGCCCCCTGGCAGATGAGCTGTGGGTTTGGTGGAAACTGCAATGGGAGGTTGGAGGGGCCGCATTCTACGAATGGACTGATGATTGGATTCTCTCTGCTATACCCCCTCCAAAATCGAAACTCTCTGATGGCTGGGGCTATGTAGCCTTAGTTTGCAGAGGTATCGTTATGGAAGTAATTTGGAAAGCTAGGAATGCGGTGGTGTTCCACCAAAACCCAATGCCTCTTCAACAACAGACCAGGTTGGTTAAAGAAATGCTCAGACTGACGGTCCTGACAGAATGGAGGAGAGCAAGACACAAGGCAGGAAGGGGCTTAATCTGGTTTCGTAGAACTTGGACACAGGAAGAATTTCTGGCTTCAGTTAGCGTTGAAGGGAAATTGCAAATTTCAAAATGGTTATGCTAATCAAGGCTCAGAGTGTTAGGAGGCCGAGTATAGGCCAAGGATAATAGGATCAAACACATTGGGAGGGAGCGTATGTAGATCTCGTTTTTTTTTTTGTTTTTTTTTTTTTCATATTGCGTTCGACATTTGGATTTAGAGGAATAAGTAAGAAAGCTCGGTTGAAACAGAATTGGCTGCGTTTACTGGGCTGAAATGGAGCATCTAGATGGTTTTAGCCTTTGAGAGGCAGCTCCTTTTCCTTGCATGAATTTTAATTTTCTTTGGAAGTAAAAGGGACACTGGACCCGGTTTCCAGGAGCCTACAGCTGGGTAACGGCCCGAGCATGTTATCTGTACCGGGTTGACTTGTGGGGTGTGTTCCCGGGCCCCTGTCCTTTGGCTTTGAAATGAAATATACACACTTCCAAAAAAAAAAACAAAAAAACTCCTTTGTACGTTCGGGCACTCGGCCTGTCCGCCTCCTGAAGTACACTGCCCTCCGCTCCTCTCGACACGCACAAACGACAAAAATGATGGCTCTGTATCTTTCCACCTTCTAGCAGAAGATTCGCTCTCGTTTTGCACATCTCGAGAGTAGTGGACCGAGGCCCTCTTCTCTGTTTTTTTGTTGTGGGTCTGCACCCAGCATACAGCCAGTGGACCAGTCCTCCACAAGAGACTGCAGCCTTCCCCCGAACATCTCACCCTGATAATGATTGTATACAAGCTATATTTCATGTAGGCACAGCCAAAATGAGGGTGTGAGTGGGTTGTGTGTGGTGTGTGGGAGAGTGTTGGCCTTAGACACTGCTGTTATTCGGTTGGGGGTGGGGGACGATGAAAAGGGAGGCGCAGCTACTGGCAAAATGCTCGGTCTTTGCGTTAGCCGGACCCCCACCGGCGGCCCCACCCCATCCTTGACCACCATGGTTGGGGCGGGGGGCAACATGCATCCCCTCTGATGGCTGGAGGGAGACAACAAAGCTATGTTTGCAGGGGTCCCCTGTGTAAGCCTTAGGAGTAGTGGTAGGTAGGTAGTGAGGGTGGATTTGAAAGAATTTGAAAGATGGTGAAGGATTTGAGAGAAGAATATAGCGTAGTTTTAATTAAAAAAAAAAAAAAAAGAGGGTGCGTTGTGTTCGGGGGAAGACGGCACACAGGCCTAATCAAGCTGTCAAATCACGATCCACGCTGCGGGCGGTTGTCCAATCATGTTCTGTTTAGTGCCCTGAACGGACATTGGGCCTCGTTCCACTACTTTCGAAGTGTGCAAAACGACCGCCGACACGATTTTTGTCTTTTGTGCATGTCAAGAGTAGTGGAGCGACGCCCAATGCCCATTGTTTTTTTTTTTTTTTTTTTTTTTTTTT